AATACACCAAAGTGCCAGGAATGAAAGTAAGAACCTAATAATCTAAGATTAAGCAAGAGGAGCAATATGCTCCTCTTCAATGTGAAGGCAACAGAACTTGCGTAACGCATACGTTTTTTTTATAGTTTTTCATTTCTCGATGCGTCCTTAATGTGTTGGAATATACCGCGTTTACCCTAGTTGCCATTTTGGAAAAAGGCAAAAGTCTAAGCCAGAATCCATTAATCATGAGTGAGCAGTGAGCTCTTTCTAAGCCTTTGTCCAATTTTTTCTATGGCCCAAAATAAGGAAAGCTGCACATTTTTGTTGATGACCTATAAAAACAATGCCTGTAATTTGTAAAATAAGTTTATGTATGCAATATTTAGAAAATGATGTCCAATATTTTATATTGCCTTAATTCTACAGCCAGAGCCAGGCCAGGGTCAGGGACAGGGTGCAGAAAGTGGGTCTGTAGATTTTCAGTCTCAGTGATGCATCAGCGGCAAAAATTAATGCCTTCAGAAGATCTTGCCAGCACTTTGTGATTGAAATTATTGCATTTTACTTTTAGATATTTGCAAATCTTTGACACTTGACAGTACCAAGTTTCTAACCGCAAAATTGGAGGTACATCAGTGACTGCATTGTTTCTAAAATTTTCTGTTTCTGGTTGGGTTGATCTCTCGGACAAAGTGGCAAACCAGAGCTTTTTTAGAATCAGTCATTTTCAATTTTCTCATTTACTCAAGATTTAAACCAATTTCTTAAGTATGATAATGCTGGTATCCAGGATACTTTGATGGTCTACATGTAGGACTCAAAAATAAACTTGAGGGAGAGTCTAAAAAACTCTCTGCTTTGCCACTATGCTCTCGGATGAGGCTGGAAAGCATGATCTACAATTTGGTAATTTTGGTTGCAATGCAATTGTCTACTGTAATACCTGGGGGCTGGGGTGTTAAAGATACATTCATCAGAGTTGATTTTGAACAATTTTTTTTAAATTATGTTTGCAACGCATCTTGGAGACTGCTGGCAATGCAACAATGCACCAATCAAGCATGGAAAACTTCTAACCTTAGGGCCGTGACCAGAGCTTTCCAACCATTTCCGGAGCTGCGAGATTTCTGCCTGATGAATTGCCTCTTATATAATTGTTAACAAAATTCACAATCGGGCCGCAAGATTCCAAATGTATCAAAATTTGTCACATTGAAGCCGTGACATTTCAGAACAAGTAGGAAAATTCTAATCCTGGCACCAATGCATCATGAGTACCGTCAACCGGGGCAACTCGGGACTGGCGGGGCAACTTGGGACGCACCTCCGAAACGGCGTAAAACCGTTATAGTAGCGAAACTAATTGGAATATTGCAAAACTAAACATAGTGGCGTAAACTTCAACATTTTTCCTATCTATGTAGTATAAAGGCAGTCGAAAAATACGACATTTACTAGCTTTGAAAAATTCCTGAAAAAAATGGTGAAAAACGCTGTTTTGAAAAGTTACTTCTGCTAAGGTCTGTAGCAAAAAAAATATTCGCCGTATTAAAAAATGTTACTTACATAAAAGTTGCACCCAGGTGTCGGCTTGAAAACGTAATTGGCCGATTTTGCCTATCTCATTCCAAAAAAAAATGGCGGCTATTTCCGCACGGCGGTGCTACTCGGGCCACCCCCCCGGGGCTAGTCGGGACACCTCTAAAAACACATTTACATTAGAACCTCAGTTAGCAAAAGCTCCAATTACGAAAAAAATTGATTAAAAACAAAGAATATTGATCACATTTTTCTTGCTCAGCGAAAAAAATTTCACTTATCGAAAAATTAGTGCATCATCAGTCATCACAAAATTGTGCATAGCATGTCATGTATAGAATTGTGCACCAGGCATCATAGAATGAAAAGTAATTGACCTAAACTACGATTTATTTCTCCAAAAGATACGTTGGTTGTCACTAAAATATTCCTTTCTGTTTCAGGTATGTTTTTCACGATCTTTTTTACTATAGTAAATTCACTTAACCCAATTAAAATGATGTGAAATTACGAGCCGTCCTGTAAGCTTACAGATACGAAAAAAATGCTATAAGGCTGCTGATACGAAGCTTGCAGTGGACAAGGTTGTTGTAAATGCTCAATGGCATGTTCATGGATACGGTAATATCACATCAATAATATGATAATTGCACATCAATAATACGGTAATTAATGTATATGGCAATATCATATCAATAAAGGAAAAACAAGTAAAAATCACAGAAAATGTCATTTATTCTACCTCTACATCATCTACAATGAAAGAGGCGGACTTCAGGAGGACTTCAGAGTACTGTTAGTGATGGATGAGTGAAGTTTTAAATGAAGTTTTATTCCAAGTGTCCCGAGTAGCCCCGTTCGACGGGGCTACTCGGGACACCCTTTTTTTGCTTCTGGCACCTTACAAATAGCATATGGAATTTTTTTGAAGATGCCATTTGATAGCCCTCGCAAAGAGCTATAAAATGAGCCTAAACTTGTTTATGAAATGTTTCATCGTAAGAAGTTATTAACAAAAAACGCTCAAAACCGTCCCGAGTAGCCCCGGTTGACGGTAGTCAGTGACGTTTTTTGTCTAAAAATGAAATATTGGCAACATATTCACCAAACTCTGCTTCATGGCAGCCAGGCATGGAAAATAGCTATATTGCAAGCCAAAGCTGCTACTAGAGCCTTCTCACTATTTTTGGAGTGGCAAGATTCCCACTAATTGAATTATCTCTTATCTGTCAACAAAAGTATGTGATAAAGCCATTAGATTCCAAGTTTAATAAAAAGATATCACCTTGGAAGAACAAGATTTTAGTATATTGTATAAAGCTGAAATTTTCTAATCCTAGTTAGAAGCTTGGATTGTGGAAAGCCTAATCCTAGCTGTAAGCTTAGCTCCTAGCCTGGATTATGGAAATTTTTATACCTGCCACCTTGTAATGATTGTGAGTAAAATCTCTTCTATCCTGAGCCCAAACTGAAAATCAGGCAGAAGCACCTGTGAATGAGAAAAAACATTCATAATTGCATTCTTAATTCCCTATAAGTAGGTTTGCATGTTGGTAGTTGTATTGCAGCAGTTTAAATTTTTGCAGTCTTGTTGATTAAAGCTCTAAGAAGATTTTAAAAGTTTTGCTCATAACTATCAATAAATTTTTGAAACTTTGAAGCTGCTTTGAAATAAAATTTCATTGTTATAAATAGTAATAGCTGATAATGATTATTTAATGATTTTATTTACTTGATGATCAGAATCTCATTCCTTGCTTTGGATTATTTTTCAGATTTACTTGCAGTTATTCATTGCAGTGTTACGCTTCAAGTTTATAGTGCTCTCTTACATTCTCCCATCATGAACAGTGCTAGTAAGGTAAGCTTAAAATAGTATCCCAGGCAGCTGGTATAGTAATTATAGTATACTAATTATTTGTAATACATTAAAATAGGTTTGATTAAATGAAAATATCTATTACTTATAAATAGAATTGCTTAGGTACCTGTTGGGGACCCATAGTAGAAAGTTTTAGTGTATTAAGCAAAGAATAAATTTCCATAATATTAAGATACAAACCTTGCAATAGAAAAGTATGATTTTTGTAGTACAAACATTGTTATTTTTATTGAATTGCAACAATATCTGTCCATATGTTTCAAAAATATCTAATTGTTAGTTATATGTTACATATTTTTGACTAGTGTGTTTTTTATAAAATAGAAAGACTATATTTGCAATGGGAAATTCTCCAATGATGCCAATCTTTATTAACACTAATGATAGTACAACAAATGTATGAGATGTCACTGAAAGTTCTTGCATTGAAGCTCAATAAATAATAGCTCAGCTGTATTGCATTTTTTTTATTTTGGATACAAAAACAGCAGCATAAGCTTACTGGTTAGGGTTACAAAACTAATACCTTTACTCCAATGTAACCCCATAACATCCAGAAGAGTGTAGGGTAATGTGGCTTTATACGGTACCACTTCAAGATATCTGTGTCAAGTGTTGAATAGGAATTTATAGCACTACCGTATATAACATGCCCATACATGATATGATTCAATACTCATTTCCTTGGCAATCATATAGGAGATGATGTCCCTTAAAGTTCAAATTCATATTATGTTTTCTCATGTCTTTGGTTGTGAGTTATTCAATTTTTTAGTAACAGAATTAGCCTGTAACTAGAGCAAGCAATATGTCGTTTCTCATAAGTCTTAAGTTTTCTTTGTACATTGCCTCCATTACCTTTATTTCTGACTTATTGGTGCTATTCCTGCTTAAAACATCTTTTTATTACTGATGTGATGATGTAAATTTCAGGTTGGAGAGATATTTCTGGCTGCTGGTACTGCTTTCAACCAGCTTGCCGACCTGACTATGGAACTGCACCCCACAGCTGAGAGTTCACCTGCAGGGTGAGATCAGTTCTTTATAGTAGCTGCTGTCAATCCTGTATGAACATGACTTACAAAACTCTTGTGAAGTGCAAAATTTTGTATGAAAACCCAATGCTGGGGTACCAATTTTTTTGATCATAGGGCCAAGAGTGAATTTTTTTTGCTATTTACCTCTGGGAAATGTGAATAAATATTGAAATATTGCTGGTAATTACATAGATGTGCAATTTAAATATATATTGACTTAAAAATTATATCTACCTCTCACTTTTGATACTGGTCATTTTTAAGCTCTGCTCAATTTGGATACAGAACATCAACATCATAACCTTGCAATTAATCTATTATCCAAGCAAAATAATTTTTGATACAACCAAGCTAGCCAATGAAATTGTAAAGCAACTCAATTTATAGTAATAATCCATTATTATATATTAAATATATTATATATTAAATATAATATATATTAAATATAATATATATTAAATATATTAAATTTTGATTCATTGATTTTCTAATTCATGTGTCTTTTGTATGAGCCAATCATGTTTGTATAGGTATTTACATGCAACAGTGAAAAAACGATTTTTGTATCTATATCAGTTCTCTGTACCATATTTTCTCATTCAGACATTTTACTATCATCTTATTGTGTAAATTTGTATCCATAGGTTATGATTCTTTCATGAACAAATTCATTTATACAAGTTAAGGCATTTGATTGCCATGTACGTGGATGACTTGTATGTGTGTTTAACTTATGCTGTATCAAATGCACAGATGCTCAGTTATTTGTTTGTTATTTTCTTGAGTGCCTGAAGTATCCCCATTGGCTAGTTTAGTGGGAGTGAATAGATCAAAGACCTAGCATCAGTATGAATCATCAGTAAGGACTTGCAGACACAGCCTTTTCATAACATGTAGCAGTAATTTAGTCTAGATTCGAAAAATTTATTCAATTGTTGTTCTTTATCCTTGTAAGGAAATGTATCCAAGTTTTAGAAATTATTCAGTAAAAACGCCGCCAATAGAAAATCTAAAACAAGTCAAAACGGTGTTGGAGTTATGAGGAATTTTTCTATGTATGGAACAGATTGCAAGAATGCTTTTGTGAAAATGGCAGAAGTAAAAAGAAGATTATTATCTGAAGAAGATTTAAAGATTATTCTTCCCCTGCCCACTGAATTTATTTGTCATGCAAGACTCAGCCAATGTATGGCATTCAATAAACACTTGCTAAACCTAGTAAAGCATGCAATGTTTACAGGACCAAGTGGACAGCTGAAGAAATAGACATGCTGCGCAGTGCTGTCAACAGATTTGGTGATGATCTCAATGCAATCAGCCACAGAATCAAGAACCGTACTGTGTAAGCCAGATCCAATAAATCCGGTGTTTAGGACATATGACTTTTTGATTCCTGCAGTCATACTACCACTGATGTGCTTTTTTTTTGAAGAATATGGCCTTAGTTTCTAGTTTATTCGCTATGTTCTTTGTTTGTTTGACTTGACTATATTCACTAAGTTCACGACGAGAGTGTTTGATCATGAAAGAATCTGTTGCCTATAGATGCATTTTTCATTCATTACTGTCACACTATGTAATTAGTGGTAAAATTTTAAGTTTAAAATAATCCATTTATCGCTCCAACAGTTAATATAAACTTTCAATATCAATTTATGGTTCAAATTGATTATTACACATCTATGCTTACTCTATTACTAAATATTAATAGCAAAGTAACTATGAGAACATTTGCTTAACTATTATTAATTATTATAAATTATTTTTGCACAGGAGCTTTACTTCCATTTTACGTCGAGCTTAGAAATTCATCTGTATGTGTTATCAGCTTTCTCATTGTATTTATTTTCCTTTGTGTATTTTTATCTGATTTGGAATAACTTTTCAGATCACAAATTAGATCAGCTTTGAAAAAGAAAGCGTTTGAAGACGCAGGCATCACCCCTCAGCAACTGGCTGCTCTGCAAGTTAACCAGCAACAGGCTCTGCAACAACAGGTTTGCTGCTTCAAAAATCAAGACATTAACTAATTATGGTTTTTCCCCAACTTTACTTCAGGCAGATTAAAATCGAGTAGAACAAACATTAACAATGATTTGCTGTTAATATTTAAATCTGTAGAATAGGTAGATCGGTAGAAAAGGGAGATCGGTAGAATATTTAGAGGAACGTTAAGAGGTATATTTAAACATAGTGTCATCTTGTGTCACGTTTATCGTGTGGCAGAGTGCGGAGTCAGGAGCAGCGCAGCACAGAGAAGTCACGCTTAACATGCTCAACGTGGCAGCAGAGTGCGAGTCTGACGTGGTGGGCGGCCCTGACGAGGTCAACATGGTCGACTTCGGTGCCGGGGCCAACCAAGTTGTGTCGTCTTAGCCCTCATCATTATTTTACTCATGTTCGTTTGTGATCATTACCTCATCATCTTCATTGTCATCATAAAACACTAGGTCTTCATTAAATTCTAGCTTATAGGTATAAATTTCCGTTCATGTTGACTTGCATTATGTGAGTAAATGAGAGTAAACCAGCAACATAAGTTTCTTTCTTTCAGTGAGTTGAATTTTAATGAAGACATTTCTCGTTCATCTTGCTATCGTTACAATCCATATTAAATTAGACGGAATTAGACCTTCAGAATGAAAAAAAATTGAGAAATAAGGCTCTTGTCAAGTGCAAGTCGTCAGTGAACTGCTTTGCAAGAGTACACAAGTATTTTCTCCATCATCATAATCATCTACTTAGGTTATTCATTTGTTCCTGAGTTATCTCCTTGATTTAGTTTCACTTTACACTCGTCACGACGTGCTACTTCTCTCCAAAAATTACGCATTAAGGCTTTGGTTTTTAAGAGTGAACGAAAATTTACAGACTGGCGAGAAATTAATAATAGGCCGATGCGCGTGTTGTATTTATGAAAATACGATTCAATAGATACTTGATCGTTCGATGCACTGGTGAGACGTAGTTCGGTTTGCCACTCAACCTGATGCACTGATATTGTGTTGGACGACTTCCTGATCCTGCGTAGGATCGAGTTCATGTCCTGTAATAGACTTGGTTTGCGTTGAGTTCTGGCAACAACTGCCGAGTTTTAAATTTAAATATGGTCGATTGTCTTTTCCAGAATTATTCTTTGATCGACATTTAGTACAAATATTACATAGGGAACTACTCTCGTCATTGTGTAATTGTTTCATTATCCACGTCTGTACTTGGCTTTGGGCGGGTGTCTTTATACGACGAAGCTGTACATATTTGGACGAGATCAGACAGCAGGGTGAGCCTGAGTTATGTTATAAGTGTTCTCTCCTTGTGAATTCATGCGTCCATAATCCTTTATCAAGTTGCCACGAAGACGAAGCACGAAGCAGTAAAAGTAAGAGAAAGATCAAATAGCTTTTAGATAGATAATATGTTTGATGGCATTAATTTCAAGCGTATATTATTTTTGAATAGAGGCTTATATTCTTGTAAAATTTGATAATAATAATAATAGCGGTTTCAGCGTTTATTAGGCCGTAAGCCTATCGCCGATTCTTAACATCGCAGAACATTCACAGCATTTTGCGGTCACGAACTCGCAACTCGCTGCTACAATTCTGCTGTACTTAACCGCCCGGCCTCCTTGCCGATTCTGACCAGAAACTGGCGCACAGAGCTGGGATCGAACCCGCGCCTCTCTGCGCCAATCTTGGTACTCTGAACTTTAACCACTGGGCCACCCTGCCCTGTATAGTAAAAATAGTAATTGTTTAATAGTAAAAATAGTAATTGTTTATATTCATCATCGTTAATTGTCGAGAAATTGTTTTTAGATATCTTAATTAAATGAGTTATTTACAGGACTGCTTGAGAATCCTTGACGCTCGAAATGATTGTTGTGTTTGCACATGCGCCCGCCCAAGCTACCTCTTCAGGCGGTTTATTGCTACAAAAAGAATTGCTAGGAAAATTTCATAAGAAATGTGATCGTACAGGAGATGTCTTAAAGTGAACTGCATTTACGCTACGTGACAACTTTGGGATGGAAATTTTATGTTTGTGGATTTTACTCAGAAAAATAAATGTCGCATTGCTCAAAAAGTGACACAATGACTTACCCACCGGAAGCAAACGTTGCATAAATACGCCATTTTGCTGAGCCTAATATAGTGACGATGATCCACACGCGGGCCAAAAGTGCATCGTTATATGAACAAAATTTCGCTCAATTCTCTGCGTGTTGTTTTAAAGTTAGCCATGCATACACTTGAGATTTGCCAACCGAGTTACACTGTCGATAACGTCAACTGATGAAGCTCGCATGCTCGTGTATAAAAATATGAATGAAATGGAGAAATATCTCGTGAAATATAAATGAAAATCAAAGTCCATTTTTTCTCAATTAATTTTCATTTCTGTCTTTGTGATTCCTTCGAAATCTTTTTTTACGCTTGCGTTGATACAGTAGCTGACTGACACGAGCTGAGAAATGTCAACTGGTCGCCTGCAAATTCAAACCAGCACTAAAAATATGCATTTCTGCGTTGATCAATGAATAATGGGACCTCGCTTCGAACTTAATTCATGCAGTAATGCAGTAACTCAATCGGTACAGCGGTTTGTACGTAAAGCGAACCTATTTTTCCCCATGAAATTTAGGGGAAAGACTCAAATCCGTGTCAGGCCTCCCAAAAGGCACGTCTTTAACGTATATCGGTATATGTCGTGTTCACAATATGGTGTAAAATTCTCAAGGTGGAGAATATAGCATTTTCTAGACCATATTGTGAAAATCGTACTTTTATTTCGGCAGCACTGCTTGGTCAAGTCAACAACCCGCATGCCGGCCGAAGGTATCCTAATATCTTAGTTATCACTTATCATAGATAGATATCGACACTTTTCATGCCGATTCGCTGTTTTTTGCAGTGCCCGAGGTTGTCGAATAGCACATTTCGAATGGTCGTTTAGCGGACCACTTTTTTCCCGATCTGACAGTTCAGGAGCGCTTGACAATGCGTATTTAATGCAATTAGTTGTCTTCAAGATTGTTATTTACAAAGTTAATGGAAAAGTTCACAATGATAACAGTTCAACTAAATCAGAGAAATTTAAGTTTTTCTCGTCCATTTTATGACAATCAGTCCACACAATCCTCCCAGTTCTTAGGTCCTATCAAATTAATATTTAGGTACTTTTAAGATTTTACTATATCTTCCATTTCGTTTGATTGTTCTATGGTGAGTAGATAATAATCGACGATTGTTTGTGGAGCATTTGCAGATATTTTAAACAATTTATCTTCCATAGAAGAAGTCCTTTCATTTACAAATATTATATTTCTTTACCGAGTTATCCCTGCGCACAAAATTAGCAGTATGTTTGCTCTCCGAATGATGATACGTGTTATAAATTTTTTGTACTACTGTTCAGGAACTAAAGAAACTATCGAGATCATTCCCTCGTTTTTTATGTTTTTCCTTTTCTTATTTCTTTAATTTTTAAATTTAGCACAGCCCAATAGTACCGAAAAACTGTGAATTCAGGCCACAACTGTTATGATGAATTTTTGAATACTTTTTGTCTGCAAATAAATCAGGAGGCGGTGAAATGACACGATTTGATATTGTGATTATATTCAAACTTTTGGATTGACGATGCATATTCGATTTTTATAAAGTGAAAACAGATTTACCGTCAGGTGCGACACGATTTACCGTCATGTGCGACACGATTTACCGTCATGTGCGACGCGATTTACCGTCATGTGCGACACGATTTACCGTCATGTGCGACACGATTTACCGTCATGTGCGACACAATTTGCCGTCAATGCGACACAATTTGCCGTCAGTGCGACTGCATTGTATGTTTACATGCTGTCATTTGCCATGTTTATTGAATACTAGTTACTAAATAATACATAGACTAACAAATACTAGATTTCGATGTATGCTCTAGCTTCAGTGTAGGCGTAATTTTTATTCAATCAACAGTCGCTGGTCCTGCACGATTGTTCATCGCTGGATAAGGAAGTATACAGAAGCCAATTTAACTTTAACAAACATTAACTCGCTGTTTACTAATTTCCGTAGTATCTGGATGAATTTTTTTCATATAAATTAATTAAAGAAGAAAAATTTATTATTTATTTTAAATTAGATGAATGTGAATTGAATAGAAATTAATCCATAGATATGAATTATATATTTAGCCAGGAGAGACGTTACCGTCGCAAATGTTATGCAGACGAGAGTGTACGATATTAGGAAAAGGTTGAGATTTGTCTTAGTACAAACGCATGAAGACGCTGACACCATATTTAAAGTGTATTGCATAGAAATTGTTCCCATACAGGGAACGGAATCAGCATGGTGAAGCCTTTACAAAATACTTCAGAAAAAAATACTAAAAAAAATAAATCTATCAAGTCTCCACCCAGATAAGGGCAATAAAGTAAATATAATTTAAGATGTATACAGTCCACGCATTTGTTCTTTAGTATTGTGCTATCATACAGCTTTATTAGACTATGACTTGCAAGATGCTAACCTTCACCATCATAACGGGTAATAGCGTTGGAAAAATTGTATGTGAACGTTCTTCTGGCTTCTGTGTTTTATTTACAAGAAGGGAAAAATGCGGTGCTAAGCTGACTCGCATCAGCCGCTATCCGCAGTCCCGGGAGACGTCCTGAGCGCCTTACCGCAGCGTCTTCCCTGGGCTCTGGAGGAGCGATCCGCTGTCGCCGATCAATACTGAGATCTCACTTTCTGTACTCCTTCCTAACCTCTGCTTGTCTCTACATACCGAGTAAACTCCACATATACATCATATCAGAGAACATTTCGTGCCGGAGAGTGAGGTGAAACTTGACTGAAGCGCCGGTGTTAGCAGAGGCGGTGAGAGCAGACGAGTCGTGGCTCCCGTATAGCGCCCAGCAAATCTTTCTCTTAAGTCTCCCCTGCAGTTCTCAGTGTCATCCGGCCGAGATTTGCTCCTGGAAATGCCTGAGGCCTTCCTTTCCGCTCGATGAAGCCGTTGGTCCAAATTGCACCTTTAGCAACCAATCCCTGACGGTCTGTCAGAGTCTGGCTCATGATTGGCTGCTTTGTTTGAGGCGGCATAAGCTTTTCAAAAAATATATTTTTTATTAAGCATGATGAGCGTTATGGCTTATCTGACTGATTCCTCAAGGTTCAGGATTGGATATGTCACTAGACTTGGATATGTCGGACCTATCAGAACTTTAAAGAATTAGTGCCGAGGAGAAAATTGAGCGCCAGCGAATGATTTGTAATCCAGAAGAGGGAGTTCTAGATTCTGGCCTTGCAACAACGGTATCAGAGGAGGTATTGATCCGCGTCTTGTCACTACTGGGGATCAGACGAAATTTCCACTTGGAAACTTCTAAATAAAATATTTTTCAATTTTAAAATCGAGGCTCTTAGTTATCCTACGTTGAGGGGACCTGGATTTCCCCAGCTACTCACAACTCTTCTTAGAAAATCTAAGCGAATGCAGGACATGAATATAAAATTTTACTGATATAATTGTCTCGTTGACAAGTCTATATTTTGCTACCTAAATGATTTCAATATTATTACTACTTCTGCGTCACTTTGATCAAAAGTAATGTGCAATTACTCTTTGTTATGTTGGAAGCCAGAATACATATATTAATTATATTACGATAATAATGAGATGATGGAGAACAGCGCGCTACACGTAACACCAACTAGTGTACAGCATTGATTGGATTTCAATGGCAAGTATCAATTGGTGGCAGCTTTGGACCGCAAGGGCGTCTATTTGAGCTCATCCGCCTGTCAGACTCGTAACCTTACGCTCCTTTGTACGCCATCGATGCGCTTTGCGTTACACGTCTTTCAACGGTCCCGACTCATGGCGGTTCTCGACTGCAACGCTTTGAAGCAATCGATCGTTCGTCTTTACGAAGGAATAACATTGCGGAAAATTTTCCCAACACTTTGGATATCAGGCCTTGAATGATAGAAAAGCATCGGCTTCACTGATAGTATCTTAGACTTCAAAGATCACTCATCATCTTTTGCAAAATTGATCAAGAAATTTTCACCTGAACCGGACATGAGCCCAGAAAATTTTAGAGAATCAGTTCATCGTCGGAAGCTCTAATGTGAACAAACGCGGCTTAGGCTTGTGAAATGCCTTGTGTAATA